CTTCTATACTAAGTAAAATGCTTTAGTGAAAGCTAACCTTCAGCCCAGAAGAGAACTCAACCATTTCCTCTGCTTGGACATTTCTTAGGCCATACACACGGGCAATACCATCACCAATCGAGAGCACACGGCCAGTCTCCTCAAGTTCAGCAGAGGTGTCAGCTCCCAAAATACGTTCCTCAAGAATAGAAGATACCTCAGCAGTGCCTAGGAGATATTTCAAACCAGATTCAGTGAATTAATGCACAGTACAAACACAGTAAGCTTGTCTCAAATTCACAAGTTAACGTACCCTTTCTTAAATCTGTCATAAAACATGGAAAACAATGCTTTTCCTTACATATGATGCATGAGGTAAGCGACAGCTTCTGTGTACACAGCTAATAAAAGCAGTTTCAACTCATTACTAAATCAGTTTCAATCATAACAGCGATAGACACTTAGTTTAGTGATCAGTTTGCTTCAGAATGCCCTACAGTCCCTGGACAGACATCAGACTGAATAGGTCAGACTTAGCTAAAAAAGAAGACATGCTAGTTCTACAGGCAGAGAACTGGATACACCAGAACACTGCCAACTCACTGGTAACCCCATAACCAAGTGTATTTTAAAGGCACTTAATACATTTAAGAAGCAAGTTGTTCAATATAAGCTATTTAATGCATTATTAATGAGTACTCTGTCTTCTCCAATTTGGTAGCATGCCTGGAACAACATTTTATTTCCTCAGCTAGGATGCCACAAGGAACACAGTGAAAATTATTTCTTCATAATATCCTTCATCGGTCTAAGCAGTGTCAAAAATTGCAGGTGGGCCACAACCAAACACTGCTATGCAGTGCTGCAGCTTCGTTGAGATGCTATCAGCCACAAGAGTTATACCCAAGGACACAAGGTCAAATTCAAGCAAGCCTGAGAAAGTCATCCATTCCCTAAATATTCCTCTACCAAGCAGATAGGAAACTGGAATTTGAGGTGGTTTGGGGTTCTTTCCTTTCCTTTTTTTTTTTTTTTTTTTTTTTTTTTTCCCCTCCAGATAGTTCTGCAGAGCTTAAAGACTGAGGTGGATCTCTGTCGGGCATTTAAGTTGATACGTGATCATTCTTTTGGTTCAGGCATAACTCGATCAATTATTAAAGTGACATCTCCTGGATGTGACCCCCCATAAATGGTATTTCGCTTTCCTACACAGTACACTGACATCCTGGTGGATTTTATCAGCTGACACACGCACCTCACACCCTGGAGCAGCTGACTGATCAGGCTTTTAAACAATATTCCTATAATACAGATCCTTCTACAGACTTACCTGTTTTCTGAAAACCCATTTTGGAGGCATGGATGTTTCTAGTAGCAACAAATGCTGCACCGAGGGCGTTCCTGGAAACCTAAAATAAGCACTTGTTTCAGTAAGGTTTTCTTGACCATACAGAAGGGAGGTTATGTTAATTTTTCAATGACGCTTAGATATCTACCCTGTCTCCATTTTGAGTCGTTTTGCTGCAATGCCAAAAAGCTGCAGTTACGGCATCAAACCCAGCCCTTTTTTTTTTTTATTGGGNNNAGAGGGGTAGGGCAAGGACTGACAGCAGAAGAGCCTGCTGTAAATTACCACCCGCGTTTTTCTGTGTGTCACCTCTGCAGCATCCCGGGCAACAGAGTATCTGAGAGGATACTCTGACAAGGTCAGGAGCACGAATACACCGGCCCACCTTCAAAGGGCACGGCGCCCCGTTCCCCGCCCGCCTTCCAGCTGAGGTTACCAGCGGGCACAGCTCTGAACCACCTCCCCTCCCATCCCTCCAGACACCCCCAGCAGCCCCTCAGCGTGCGCCCCGACCGCACAAGGCCGCGGTCCCTCAATGTCACCGCGCTCCCAAGATGGCGGCAGCTCGCCGCCCTCTTCCCGCCCGCGACGCGAGGGAAGACGCGCTCACCAAGCCGGCCTGCCGCGGCAGGGAGCGGGCGAGGACGGCGGCCACGCGGGCGGACAGCATGGCGGCGGCGGAGGAGAGCGGAGCGAGGCGGGCGGGAAGCGGCTGCCGGCCCACGGCGCGCTCTCTCTCTCTCTGTACAAAATGGCGTCGCCTCGCCCCGCCCCGTTGGGCGGTTTGGGAGCGGAACCGCTCTTTCAGCGCTCCGCCCTGCGGCCCGGCCAATGGATGCGGTGCTTCGTACGAAGTGCGGCGTTCGGAGGACCTCCCTCCCTGGGAGCGGGCGGGGGGAGAGCGACGAGAATGGAGCATGGAGAAGGCTGAGAGGAGGTCTTGTCAGTGCTTATCCATATCTTCATGAATGGGAGTCAGTGGATGGGGCCAGGCTCTTTTTGGTGGTGCCCAGTGACAGGACAAGAGACAGTGGGCAAAAACAGGAACATAAACCATGGCTGTGGTAGTGATTGATGCTCAGTCAAACCCTGAGCTTGTGTGCAGTTTGCTGCTGCATCTGGCTGCATGTAAGTCCATGGGACTGATGGGATTCTGCCCAGGGTGCTCAGAAAGCTGCCCGGTGTCATAGCAAGCCCCCTCTCAATTATCTTTTCACGGTTTTCAGGATTCTAGAGAGGTCCAGTTGGCTGGAAGCTGACAAACTTCTGACTGTGAAGATGGGCAAGAAAGAAGAATGCCAATGACAGACTTGTCAGTCTCACTGACTTCCTTCCTTATGGAGGAAATTATGCTGGGAGTTACTGGAAAACACCTGAAGGATAATGTGGTCATTGAATACAGCCACAGTGGGTTCATAAGGGGAAGGTCATGTTTAACAAATTTCATGTCCTTTTGTTATAAGGTCACCCATATTGTTGACCAAGAGGACCCAGTTGACATGACCTTTTTGCATTTCAGTAAAGCTTTTGACACTGTTCCTCACACAGGGGGAGAAATACAGAAATATAATGTGATATGTGAGCAATCAGCTGAGGCATGGAGCCCAAAGAATTATAGTAACCCCTTGATATATTAACCCTATAGTATGAAAAACAAAGGGTTTCTCCTCCGGAGATATTCAAAACCTGTCAGGATGCCCACCTGTATGGCCTATTGTAGGGAACCTGCTCTAGAATGGGGTTGGATTCGATGATCTCTAGAGGTCCCTTCCAACCTCTACATTTCTGTGATGCTATGATCAGGGTGGCACCCAATCTCTAGCGGAGCCCCCCAGGACTCTATTTTAGCTTCAGTTCTCCTTATGTTTTCATGAATGACTTGGGTGTAGCACTAGGCGGTGTTTTGAGCAAAATCGTTGTCAGCACTCAACAGAGAGGAGCTGTTGGTTCTGTCAAGGGTAGAGAGGACTTACAGAGACACACAGACAAATTAGAGAGCTGAGCAATTGCCAACCACATGAAGTTTAACAAGAGCAAGAATTCAGTATCTGGGGAGGCACTGGGCTGTACATACAGGCAAGAGATGAGGTGCAGGAGAACAGCCCTGCTAAAAAAGATTTGGGGGTCTTGGCAGATGGCAAGTTAAACATGAGTCAGCTGTGTGCCCAGGCAGCCAGGAAGGCCAACTATATCCTGAGGTGCATGGAGCACAGCAGTACTGACAGGTCAGGGGAAGTGATTGTTCCAGTCTGCACTGCATGGTTGCATCCTCATATTAAGTAGTGTGCAGTTCTCAGCACCACAATACAGAAACAACGTAAAACTCTTAAAGAGTGTCCAAAGGAGGGCTATGAAGATGGTGAGGGATCTGGAAGGCAAAGCATGTGAAGAGCAGCTGAGGTCCTTTGGTTTGTTCAGTCCTGTGTGGAGCCAGGAACTGGACTCAATTATTCTTATGGATTCATTCCAACTCAGCATGTTCTGTATTTCTGTGATTCCGTAGGAAGTTCTGTACGAACACGAGGTGATAGAACACTGGCACAGGCTGCCCAGAGAGGTGGTGGAGTCTCCATGTCTGGAGATACAACTTGCCTGGACACTTTCCTGTGTAACTAACTGTGCTGTAGGAAACCTGCCTTAGCAGGCTGTTGGACTAGCTGATCTCCAGAGGCTCCTTCCAACACCTACAATCTAGTGATTCTGTGAAAATGAGGCCAAAAAGTGCTTTAATCCTTCCTGCAATCTGGGAAGGGGCTGAGAGTGTGCAGCTCCTTGCCAGTCTCCTTAATTATATTGTTGTTAATTATAAATCTCTTGAAACACAATAAAAAAAGATGGGTTTTGAGAGGTGACATTGCTTTATTCCGCACCGGACGCAAGGTGGAATATTCCCACAAATCAAGCATGCCAACTGTTCATACGAGCTTATATTTATAGTCCAAAAAGTTTTCCCTGCACCCTACTTGATGTGTAAGTCCTACCTACTACATATTCACAGTATTATGTAAGTACAAGGTTACATAACATAACTGAATCTTCTGTGCTTGCATGGGTTCTTTGGTGGTCCCACTCATTTTATTCACACTTGAATGCAAGGACACTTAATTTCCTCTGTTTTGTTACTGTTTTGGACTTGTGCCTCATCTCAAGGACATGTTTGTGCGTCCTTGTTTCTTATTTATAGCCATCTTGGATCTTTTAGGAGAAACATCCAGTTTTGGGAAGGTTGCTTATCCTAGATAAGCAGGACATGTGGAACTTAAAGTGGGGCTTCAACCTTGAGCCAGATGAAAATGTGTGACACCACAGCAGCTCGGCTGCTTTGATGATGTATTTTCCAAGAAAGACCCTAACTTTTTTAATGTAAGAAATAACACACATATTTTGCCCTTTAGCTTAGAAACAGTTTTCATCCCTTCTGGGGAAAGGATTTAGCGTGATATGAATGGATACACACAACTGCATCAGAAAATAATCACCTCAAATCACTGTACTACTTCAAAGCCTTATTTCCTTAAATGTTTGGAGTCCTTAAGGGGAAAAGCAAATTCTCTGGGAACACGGAGAGCTTTAAAATCAGCTGTTATACTCCCGCTGCGCATAACGAATGGCCCAGCCAGCCCTCCTCCCGGCACTACAGCTCCCAGCAGGCCGCGCGGCGCCGCAGCTCCCAGCAGGCCGCGCGGCGCCGCAGCTCCCAGCAGGCCGCGCGGCGCCGCAGCTCCCAGCAGGCCGCGCGGCGCGAACTCTGAGCGCGGGGAATGCCGGGATGGAGGCGGGAGGCTCGAGGCGGGAGACGGCAGCCTTTGTGCGGGAGAAAGTGCAGCGGGTAACTGTGGGGCCGGGGGATGGAGGCGGGAAACGCCACCCTTCAAAGGGTGCCTGCAGCAGAGATTTGGGATGCCGTCTGTTTACACTTTGTGCTTTGAGTGATGTCGCAGGGGTCATTTCTCTGGAATGCAGAGCTTTCAGCACATTACTTTTCTTACGTCCAGCTGTTACTTTCTGTCTTTTCACTGGGCTCTTCTTCTTTTATTTCCCCGGCAGATTACTTCATGGCTAAAGAAAACGTTTGAAAATCAGCCGGTGCCAGAGTTCAATGTGAACGCGCAGACCATTAATCTCTTGCATATGCTCGTGGAATACAGTGAAGAAAGAGAGAGAGATGTTTCGTTTCTGATAGAAGACATGAAGCAAAGGGCGGCAGAATACGATGCAGAAGGTGAGCTAAGGGTTCTACTTGTTAGCTTCTTCAGAAGATTTTTCCTAGTGATCTCGTAGACTGTCAAAATGTGAAGCTCAACTATATTAAAAAAGAAATAGTAGTAGGCTAAGCATTTGTTGTACTACAGCTTTTACTGCAAGGCAATCCATTCTTTCAGCAAAATGCAATCTAATGTGTGGTTGGTCAAGAACAAGTTTTTATGCTGGCTTGAGACAGCAGATTAATTGTTAAGACCTCCTGGCCTACTGGGCTGAGTAGCACAGTAGTATTCAAATATTGGCTGGATACATAGCGGAGCAGCCCTACAGCTGATTTAAGAGTCTGAGCTGATGGTAATCCCCTGTTCAGGTAAGCATTTGAGGAATTTGAAATGGCAGTTAAGTGATTAAGTTTTGCTTACGCTGCATGGAGTGTGTGTCTAATCACGTGCCACTCACTTGGTCCTGAAAACACAGGGAACTGTAATGTTTTTAACGTATTCTAAAGGATAATCCCTTCATTGGCTTCATTCAGAAAGGAATTGCACTTTTCTTTGAAAAGACTGACATTGTAAAACCCTACTCGATTTTTTTTCTTCAGGTCTTCTAGTGACTTGCCATCATTAATATATTATATTAATAATGATGGAGGCTAGACAGTTGATTTAGGCTGTTAAAAAATGTGAGCACTGACAGACAGGTGTGGATGCAAGCTCTTCTGCAAATTAGGCTGCAGTGAGGCTGCCCTGATACAAGGGAATGTCTTTACTAATAAAGTTTTGATATGACAAGCATGATGGCTCTTTCCCTAATGGTGGAGAGATAAACAGAATTTCTAGGCTAAAATTGGGTTGTAGCTTTGGATAGACCCATCTAGAACCTGAAAGAACAGCAGTATTGAAAATAAATCTTTTTTGTTGTTTGTTTTTTAGCTGAATATTTGCAGAGCGTTCTCACAGAAAGCCTCGATCTTTCACCATCCAGTCTGTCCAAAGAAGGCACTGCCCACCTTAAAACTCTGGTAGACAGTGCAATGATACTTGAAGTGGAGGACCTTTCTCTTATCAGGTAATTCTTCCCACTGTGCAGCAGAGTTGTTGATCTGTGCTGCTTCCCTCTGTTTTTTTTTCAATTCAATTATTTCAAAGTGAGTTTTTACACCAGGAATCCTACTTGTCCAGCTTTTGCACCACTTGGGCAGCTTTAGAAGGCACAGAAAGCACAAAGCTCTCATGTCCTTCCCATTAAGGAAAGCATCTGAAGCCCAGCAGGAGCCTCAGTTAAATCTCTTCTCGGCCTATAATTTTGTGGTCAATTGCTGTAGAATTTTGTTACTAGCTCATGCCAGGTAGCACAAGCTAGAGCAGCTTTCATACTGTTTAGGCAAGCAAGGACTGAAAATGTAGCTGGTGATGCAGTTTCAGCTCATCTATTTCGTTTGTTATCTCGCTTCAGTTCATGTAAGGAGATTTCCTGGGCTCTGACACAGAAAAATGGCAGCTGTTAGTCTGTTCTTTCAGACTTCTCTGTCTGATTTTAAACTGTAACAGCAGGAGTGCATTGAGCATTGTGAGTAAGGAAAAGACAAAATCTGCCTTAAAATCCAGTGTTTTTTGTTTAATCATGTTTAAGAGCTTTGCTCTTACTGTTCTTTTCTGAGCCAGAGGAGCAAACAGTTACAAACCATTGGGAAGAGTAAGTGACTGAGATACTTCTGGTTGTGTACTAGGGACATAGATTTTCACAGGCTAAATAGAGTTTCTCTCAAAGGCAATCTGACAAGCTGTGAGTGGAGCATGTAATTATTTCAGGCCTGGTCGTTTCATTCACTAGAATGCCAGGTGTTGTTTAGTGTTTCCCAGTGCTTAGGTTGTTAGACTGTTTCCCCTCCTAGATAAAATTTTGTTACTTAAAGAAAGCAAATACCCTCAGAGATGTATTATATTTTCTTCTTCTTCTTAAACACTTGCTATTTACGAGATATATCATAACATGAGGAAAAACAAGTGTTTTGTGGTGAGGGTAAGAGGAGAGGAAACAACAATAGTACTGATTCTGAGTTGTTCCTTCCCACTCTTTTCTCCAGCTTCTTCTGTGCCATGAATGATAGGAGTTTGGAACTGCATGCAGCAGAATTAAAAAACAAAGAAATGGAACAGGAATTGCTCAACTCTAAGAAAAAACTGACTGCTACGCTGTTGCTGGAAGAGCAGTTAGAGAAGTGAGTAATGGATGAAAAAGGGGAAATATGTGAGCAATACTGTGCATCTTTGTGATGTCATGCATTTCTCGTGACAACTAACAAGAGTAATTTAATTGTTAAGTTTTTGACACATTTCTACTTAATATTGGGAAGTATCAGTCAAAAGCTGTATTCTATGGATACATTCAGGGGTCAGAAAAAGTTTTGGGTTACAATTATATCTGTTTTAAACTAAAAGTAGTTTGCAAGGAGTTTTCAGATGTGGGCTGGCAACTTCCACCCACTGCCTTCCACTGAGGTTGAAGGCAAATCACAAAACTGTAGGGGTTAGAAGAAGCCTCTAGAGAACACTGAGTGTGAGCATGGCCTTTGTGAGTCTGGAGGTAGATGGATAGTTCCATAGATATTTGCACTGGGGAATCTCACAGCAAAATGCAAATGTTTTCTTCATTCTCTCCTTTTGGTGTTGGTTGTATTAAGAAGTTCAGCTTGAGCATAGATGGCCGAATGGTGTATGTGTACTGGTATTTCTTTGAATGTAAGGGTTTGTTTCTTTTCTATTTAAGGGATCTTGAAAAAGTAAAGACACATCTTGAGATTGAAGAAGCCAAATCTGAGAGCCGACTTCAAAACCTGCAGTTCCTGAAAGACAAATCTGAGGATTTAAGAATTAGGATTAAGATTGCTGAGGTAAGTAGAAAGAATTATCTAACATAATGCTGTGACAGGTTGCAACAGTCATAGTTGGTTGGGTCCAAAATTGTAGTTAAGGGTATCCCTGGAGCCTCTTAAACTCCTGGCCTTAGGACTTCTGGTCTAATAGGACGAGTTACCACACTTCAATTGTTCCTGCTATTTTTATGCTCCTTTTCCAGAACATCCTATGGTAAATGCAAGGATACTTTTCCTTCTATAACTGACAACAGTAATAGTTCAGACTACTTTATGCTTATTGTAATGTATGATAGTGTAAGGGTATACTGAAGAGTTATCAGTAGACCATATGCTTCACTGAGATAAATTGTGTCAAAATTCTGAGTAAAGACATTTTTTTGAGATTAATAAATGATTAAATGTTGAAGACTGGAGTTGTACCTTTCCTGTATGATGATGGATACATTAATGCTTTATTTATCATAGAATCATTAAAGTTGGGAAGACCACTAAGGTCATCTAGTCTAACTGTCAAGCAATGCCTATGACCTCTCTAGACCGTGTCACTCAGTGCAACATCTACTGAGCACCTCCAGGGACAGTTACTCCACCACCTCCCTGGGAAACCCGTTCCAGTACCTCACCTGGCTGCTCTTCAATATCTTGACAAACACCAAACAGAAAACATTGCACTAGTGTTAAGACATTTTACTGAGAAATCTCTTCCTAACGTTGCCATGTGTTTTTCTCCCACTAATTTTCTGTAAAGATTTGATATTCATGCTATAAATTTCACTAGGAACTGATTTCATATAACATCTAGAGCTATGGTTCAAATGGCACATATTTGTACTCTTACTGAATTGTGTTCTTGTCTGCCTATTTCATTCAAAATGACGGAGAGGAGAAAGATTTTGCCAGATTTTGTGATCAGTTATGTATGAGCTCTTTTTTGTTTCTAGGAGAAGCTTACTACCAGTGGGTTAAACCAATCATTGATGCATGAATCATTAGTGAACCTGTCTGAGGTAGGTACAGGATGGAGGTTTCTACAGTGATCCATTTTCTAAACAGAGTGGAATTTCTATGGAATATATTTCATTACATAGCTGCCTATGTATTGCAATTACTAGTTAAAGTGATCTGGGTAACTTCTAGTTTGTGCAAAGTAAACTTTCCCTCAGATGCTTCTCAATGAGAGGAGGAGTAGGTTGAGTGAATCCTAGATCCCAAACCACTGTGTGTTTTTTTTCTTGTGACTTTAGACATAGCTTTTTGGGCGAAATCATAAGCCCAACAAGAAAATGCGTTAAAATAAAAAATGCTTCTGGAGTTGCAAGCTGTTCTCCAGCTTTCTGCTGAAGTATCTGTACACCTGTAATATATTTGTGTTCTGCACTCAGCACACTTTAACATTATTTGCTATTACTCTAATGGGAACTTGAATCCTTCTCCCTGTTTCTTTTTCTAGCTTTTTCTGCCTGTTAAGCTGAACTATGAAAGTAGGTTCCCTGATTTTTATTTTTTTTTTAAACTGTCATTCTCAGGATGCAGCACTGGGTGGCATTGTTGACACTGCTCAACATTTGAGAATAGTACTAACTAAAAATCATTTGAGTTGGAATTCTACATACAAAGTAGCATAGGGACCCTTCTAGTCTTTATCTGACCTCTGTCATCTTCTAAAACCTGAGTAAAAGGGATAATTGAGTCACTGGCGTCTCTACGAGCTTTGCCAAGAGTTCAGTTAAAATAGCATGAATGACTTCCTCTTCTGAATGTTTTTTATTATTATTTTTTATTTCAGATTGAATATTTGAGAAGAGTTAAGTGCTTTGTAATGTGATTAACTTTCAGCCTCCAGGAGAAATTACCTCCTCTTCTTAACAGAATGACCAAAGCATTGCAAATGTTGGGGATTTTTTTTTTTCTGCTGCATGTGCAAAACTGTGTTTTCACAATTAAGGCATGAGAATGCATCTTCTTCCTTGGCTCTGTTCTTTATGTGACCTGCAGTGATGTTAACTCTGAAAGTTGTCTGCCTGGTGGATCCTTCTTTGAAATCCATTTTTTCAGGGAGGTGAGATCAGGTGGTTCTACTGTTAGAAACAGTGTTGTATGCTTTCAGAAAGCAAAGGAAAATAGCTCTGTGTAAAACTTGTACTGGGTTTAACTGACTCATCGCTGAGTGAATGGTTGATCTTCAGTTTTCTATATGTTTTGAGAAGGATCTAACAAGAGCTCTAACCAACATCTGCATTCCAAAATGCTGTAGATAATTGTAAATGTAGAAGTGGTATAAATCAATACGAGGAAGACTATCGAATATAATCTACTTTGCTCTGTTCACAGAAACTGGATGGAATGCAGAAAGAAATGGTGCATGTGAAGAGGAAACTTGACTGCTATCTTGATCTACCTCCTGTAATTATTTTCTCAATGGTTATTTTATATTTGCAATCAATTTAAGTTAATTTTAACAGAGTTCTCAAAATAAAGGAAGCTCTTGCTATATTTCAGTGGCTAGAAAGCTCTCTAAATATCTGTTAACAGTGTTAACTAAAAACTTTACTTCAACACAAGGCTGTTTATTGATTAAGCTAAGCTAAAAATAATTGTATGCTTGCCAGATAAACTTTCTTCTAACAAAATCTGTAGGAGTATGACAAAAAAACAACCAAGAAAGCCTGCACATTTTCTTTCTGAATTGCTGTTTTGAGAGACCTTGTCCTTCTGTTCACTGCTTTAATTTCTGGCTTTTTCTGCTTCTGGTCACTATGCCAAGAGTTACAATCAGGCTGCTCTGCAGAGCACCTTGTGTAAAAAGGATTTTACCTATTTCAAATAAGAAGAACCAGTGTTACAGAAGACTTTCAGTTGAGAGTAGTTCTGTAAACCACTTCACAGCGGCTCAAAGAAATCATGGGCAAACAGAGCTTTAGTCTGGAGGAGTAGGAAAGGCCTTGGTTTTGTGTGATATCTGTTCTATACTATCTGAAGTGCATCAGACAGCTAAACCCAAATATTTCTGATCTTTGGAAAATTGCCTATACATTTACAGATGAGTATTAAGCATGTCCAGAATTGGTAAAAAGTAGAGCAAATAGTTGAATGGGTTTTAGGTTTAATAAACAGAACAGTAAGCAAAACAGTCACAATTTTGACATACCTAATACTGCCTGTTACATTCTTATCTGACAACCCAGAGCACGTGATATGGCTAATTTCTGAGAGTTAAATAAAGGTTTGTTCCAGTTTTTCTAAGTGGAGCACAGGGGTACAGAGAAACAAAGGACCTTATCAAAAGTTGCACAGAAATTGTGATTAATTGCATCATTTGTGTTGTGAACTAAGGTACTTGTCTGTTGCACCGTCCTTCTGTCTTCACCTCTTCAACTCTTCCATAGTGGTCTTGTCCCTCAACACATCCTCCTGTAAGGAAATGGATGAAAGTAGAGCGTGTGACTGCTTCTCCTTTAACTTCATCTTAGTCAAAGAAGCAGCTGCCTCATCTCAACCAAAACAGGACGTTCAAATTGCATTAGGTTTCCCAATTCCTCCTTCCCCCAACTCCCTGTCAGAAGAGACAGGAAGAGCCCTAATGCCCTGCTTCTGGTGCAGACAGAATGAAGGATGGTTTGTGCTAAAACTGCATTGTGCTCTGGAAAATTCATTCTTGGATGTGTTTAAAAAACAGTTTGTTGATTGGCTAATATGGAAAAGGGGGTATTTTTTAGATATTAGGCCATACCAGATTTCTGAAAAATATCTGGTTGTTCAAATGAAGCTGATAATGGGCTTTTAATGTCAGTACCTTTCATATGTGAAAAGCATACACAAAACTGATTTCATTATCCTTGAATTCCCCTGTGGCATATAATTAGAGTATTGCAATGATTCAGGAACTCTGTAATTCAAGCTGAAATATTGATTTTCATGCCATTTTTTCTCATTAGAATCTTTCCCTTGCACGAGTGAAGGTTGAAGAAGCAAAACGAGAACTGGTAAGAGATTTTATCTTTCACAAATATTTAAATGGGTGCTGTCATACTAGGACGATCTATATGCATTAATTGCTTGTGGATTTATCAACCTTGGATTGTAGTCTTAATGATCTCTAGAGGGAAATTTTGCTCTGGTAAGGCAGAAGCAGTGCATATTGGTAGGAGGAACTGTAGGAGGAATGATACCTAATGGTGTAGAGGCAGTTGGACATAATGGGGGTTAGGTATATGTCTCTCTGGATTTTTGTCTGATTCATTGTCAGCATGCGTATTCACTCCATTGTGTTGCAGCTTTTTAGTTCCAAAACTTCTACTGCTCCTGAATTCTCAAAGTGTAGTAAGGCCCATGTGTTATTGAACAGCTGCCCTGTAGATTGCAACAGGGACTTTTCCCTACAGAACATAATACAGAACATAATACAGAACATAATACAGAACATAATACAGAACATAATACAGAACATAATATGAAACATAATTTCATATATGTGTGTGGAACCTGCAGGCATTCTTGGGAAACATTTAATCTAGCAATGTTTAGAAGGTCTGTATGAAGCTTTCCAGAGTAAGCTGGTCCATATTTGAGCATAAAAGCTGTCTTTGTTTCTTTATGTTAGTACTTACTTGCTCATAGACACAGCACAAAGTATTCAATGATAAGTCATTCAAATGTGATTTCTAATTGCATTTTTAAATACTCTGTACATTTTCAGATGGGTCTGCTTAGACTGGTAGGATATTTGCTTTGTAATGCAAGCTCACCTTACCAGCATGCCAGGCTTTTGTTGGGTGCATGCATTCTGTAGCTCAGCTTGAAGATATCTGATGTCCCATTAGGGTATAAGGGCCACTGAGCATATTTAGTGCTTCATTTGGAGATTTCTCCATAGGTGACTATTGAGACCGTTGCTGCTTGGAGTACTGAGAACTACCAGTCTGATGCTTGGGTTAATCAGTGCTAATAATATCTTAAGGTTTGATTGTTGTAGATGTGCTTGTGCAAGAAGAATATACAAAAACTGCTTTGCAGTTACTGAGTCCTGTTGGTTTTCTCTCCTGCCAGAATGCCTTGGAGGAAAAGTTCTCAAAGAAGATTGAAATGCTGACTCACGATATGCTGGAAACCAGAAGACTCTAGTTCACCTGAAGTGTCCTGAATAGAAGATTTCCTTCTTGTCTATTTATTGGCACTAATTAAACATTTTGGACTTAGTATATTCTGCAGCTTTCTGCCTTACTCTTATCATGGTTGGATGGCATGCTTGTGACCTTTCAGCAAGCAAGCTCTTCTCTTTAGTGGTTCATGTAGCAGTGCATTTGTAAATGTCACCTATTTTTCCAATAAAATTCTTTCTTTCCAAACTTCTTTTTTTTCTTTTTTTTCCATATGTGGTACAAATACTTCATCCAGCTAATACCAGACTGATAGTAATAGGACAAAAAGAAATGGCTTTAAACTGAGGAGGGCAGATTTAGGTCAGATGTGAGGGGGAAATTCTTTATGCAGAAGGCAGTGAAGCCCCAGCACTGCTGCCAAGAGCTGTGGGTGCCCCATCTTTCGAGGTGCCTGAGGCCATGGATGGGGGAGCCTGAGCTGGGGGGCAGCCAGCTCACTGCAGAAGGTGGGGTGGTGGAGCTTTAGGATCCCTCCAAGCCAAGCAATTCTCTGCTCTTCACCAGGAAGTGTTCTTATCAGGATTTGATAGGCTGTTACCACCTAGAATATGACTGATCAGGAAATCTACCTTTCCTCCTTCTGCATGCCCAGACTCTGGATTGTATTTTTTTTTTCCCTGTTCTTGCTTTGGTGGTGCAAGCATTGTAATGACAATTACAATGATTCTTTCCATCTACTACATCACTGAAATAAAAAGAAGAGCAAAAGCCAGAACTGAGGAATCATATATATTTTTTTTCTATACATAGAATGTTGATCAAGTTTGTGAAGACAAGTTCTAAGATGTATTCAGATAGCTTCTAATTTTGGGCTTTTCTTTCAGGAGGAATGTAAATGTTAATTATTTACTTCATAGGGGTTACAGCACTGGTTTTGCACATCAAATTCCACTGCTCACACAAGTAAGAGCTGGGATGAACTGTCACAGCATCAGCTGCCTGAGAATCTGGGGTTTATGTTTTCCTCAGAAGGAAAAGAAACTAACTACACTAACCATTAAGGTCTGCCTATGTTGAGCACATTAATAGCTAGTAGTCAACAATCTATGTTTTTTTTTTTTCTTCCTAACATGATTACATTAACCATTATTTTTAGAATTTTGTGGATAGTTGTGTGATTTTTTTTAATTTTGCTTTCAAGATGAACTTTATCATAAAACCTTTCAAGGCCTGAAGATACATGGGTATTTTTGCAGAACCTCTGCAAGATGTCACCAGTTTGAAGCTGGATTGTGCTTTCCAATTCTACCTCAAATGCCATCTTCCTGAAGGGTCCCCATAGCACTCCTCTTTACGTGCCACCACCATACGGAGCTATAAGCATCTGACTTTTTAAAAGTACTTCTCTAGTAATTGTGTCAGCACCTAAGGGCATGTACTTTGGGCTATTTGTACCAGGCAGTGTCCAGACTGACAGCTGTGCTGCTCTCCATGACATCTGTTGGCAATTAGTTGCAAAAGATTATGGTAATGGTTTAGCATGGTGTGCCTGTCCCTAGGTCGTGCTGCTTACTTTAATTGATTTCACTGATCTGAAGGAAAAGAGATTCTTCCTATTGCTTCGTGTCCTCCCTGGAAGCAATAGGATCATGAGTTTGGCATCTGATGATTGTACTTAGGATGCATCTCTAAGTTTCTAAGAAGCTGCAAGCTCAGAAGACAGCTGTGTCAATAAAGTGCCACTGCCTCATCAGCTTGTGGCTCTCCTCACTTCATTTCTTTCACCTTGATGCAGAAGAACTGAAGAATATTCAAAGAGCTGATGCCTGTGTGATCTTCTGTCTCTTCTCCCCAAATGCCAGAGGGAATTGGTGTTGAGCTTTAGGTTTTTAAATTAAAAAGTGGGAAAGGATTAGTTGCCTCAGTTTTGTGAGAAATATCTTCAACTGTTTCTGGGCAAAAAAAATTAGGATGGCAAGATCAAGTGGAGGAGCAAGCTTTTACACGTACTCATGAGCTGAAGAGGAGAAGGGGAAATTACTCTGAGTTAACTGATGTGAAATCTAGAGCAGTGATAGTAATGCAGGGATGACTACAAGTAGTTATTACTGACCAAAAACCAGACTGAATGATGACAAGAGTGGAGTATTTGGATCTGGAAAGAGAAGAAGTGTAATCTGAACTCTCTTTTCCCAAAGAGAAAAAAAAAAAAAAAAAAAAAAAAGTAGTCTTTGTGAGGCATCAGAACATACAAGGGCAGATGTTAGAGAACTGTTTAACAAGAAAGCCATTGTAAGGTACTGGAGGTTGTGACCTGACAATTAAGGAACCTTAATCACTTGAGGCTTTTAAGAGCAGATCAGAAATCCTTTGCCTAAGCATTTATAATGCTAAGGAGAGTTGATCACACTTTGAGATAGGAAGATGGATGACTGCTTGAGGATGCTACCTGCCCTGTTTGTCTATGAAAGCCTCGGGACTTACTCAGCTAACACTATTTGAGATCTCTGTATTGTATTATGATGACTCAAGGCTTGGGTAGACTTCCTGTGGCGGTGGCATTCCCTTAGCACTACTTCATCACACAATATCCCCCTAATTTTGAAATTTGGCTGGAGAAGTCTCCACCTCTGCACCTGCAGTGCAGGTGGTGGTTCCTGTTTGTGCCCCATTCCTTCATGGCAAAGAGCCCAGTGACAGATATCAGCAGGCTGGACTTGGACTCTAGAGATGTCCAACGATGGCTGTCTGTTTCTTCCCAGGGCTGGGAGCATAAGCAGAAAAAACACCCATCAGCAGCATGCGAGCTGTGTGCCACAACTGAACCACCTGCAGCACATGCAGCACAAATCAGGGGCCAGTTGTCAGGTCCTACAGTTCAGCTTTAAAACATGGGAATAGGGAAAGTCAAATAAATGAGATTTACACAGCAAACAGGCTGTCAGTAAGACTATTCAGCTCTACACACATTTGCACGAGCAGGGTGCCTTGCAGTGCAAGCAGACATCCCTCCTCGCTGTTGGTATCTCAGCACAGCACAGCATTTCCAAAGTAGGGATTGGATGTCAGCTCAGGAACAAAACACAAAGGTCCTGCCGAGACAGGAAACACACCAGTCTCAGGACTTGGCTGAGTAAATGTTTGATTCTGGGCTTTGCCCTCTGCCCTGACAGTTGTTGAGTGTTTCCACGGAGGAGCTGAGGAGCTGCACACAGCCAGGAGGGAGGCTGCCAGCTGGACCTGTCTACTGTTGTATATTACAAAATAATTACCCAGCTGGGAACGACACAAACGCCTGCGGATGCTTTTGCTTCTTCAGCCTAATTTCAGATTACATCAGTTGCTCTGCTCTGAGCCTTATTTTTGGAGACGCTGAGTATTAACACCTGCACGTGCTCGTGCTTGCTCAGAGCTTCACGTGAGGTTCCCACAGCCACCACTCATGGTGGGAGATGCTGCACAGGCTGTGCAGATCAGTGCATTGCTCCATTTCTGTGCCCAGCCACAAGGGATGTGCATGCGTCATCACAGAGTGTTCAGTTGCTTCCCCTTGGAAACAAGAGGATCCCAAACTCCACCTATAAAAAAGGATTTAAAATGCTAGATGTGAAAACAGTGGTCAGCTTCAAGCATGAACTCGTATAAGTGGCCAAGGAATTTTATCACAAAGTGAAACACTGTTCTTATCGTGCTAATATGCAAAGCAACAACTGCTTTAGGAAGTTAAAAAACAGTCTTCACGTTGGTTTAGTGATTCAGATCTATGTAAAGGAAAACATTTACATACCAAAAACACAGTAATAAAAACAAAGTGATAGAGAAAAAAATACCAAGCCATAAGGCAAAAGTAAGGGTATTGAGCTGAAATTTGTAAGTTCTTACTCAAAATGCACTGGATCAAAAGATGTATGTGAAATCTCTTGGCTATATATTTTGTCTAGTCCGTTTTACATAAATATTCCACTGATTGCAAATGGTTCAGGTTGCTTTTCAGGCTTCCTTTGGCTGAAAGGGTTCAAAATGTTCTTCATTCATCTCAGTCCTTTAGTAAATGCAGAATAATAATATGGAGTTATCATAGAAACGATAGAATCACCAGTATTTCCCCACTAAGCCACATCCTTTAGTACCACTAAAGGACTAAATCTAGAGGTTTCTTGTACACCTCCAGGGATGGTGACCCCACTACCTCCCCGGGCAGCTCTGCCAGCACCTCTCCACTCTTTCAGATGAGAAATTTCTCCTAATATCCAATCTGAACCTCCCTGGCACAACTTGAAGCCACGGTTGAATTGAGAGTTGAATACATTTAAAAATCTTAAAATAGTTTCAAGATAAATTTGAAGAGGAAGCTGGCTGCATGTTGTACTGTCTGGATTAAAACACTTCAGATATTCTCTCAATACACAATTCCATTATGGGAACTTCTAAACAAAATCATGATGTATCAACATGCTTGTAAATATACTCAAGTGTTTTTTTTTGTTTGTTTGTTTTGTTTTGTTTTTTTAATCGTATACAGTACCAAGTAGGACTGGGAAAGATCTTTTACTTCTGAGCTCTTTGAGTTTTTCAACAACAGGGCAGCACTGAAACAATATTAATTCTGGTCTGCGTAGCCTCGCACACTGCAGGAAATCCTTCAGCTTTGTCTCTGAGTCTGCAGTTGCTGTCAGCAACTTCAAGTGGCTTTAAAAACATTTTACATTTTGGTATACACTAACCTCATTTCAGCAATTCTGTACCAGGCTGGGAAGATTCCTTTTTCTCCAATTCAGAAATATTTCTCCTGAAAAATAAATAAATAAATTTAATTTAAATATATATATATATATATTTCAATTGAGTAAGCAGAGGCTTTACCAATAATTGTGTGTTTAAAGTCAAACCTACAGTTCCTTCTCTCTTAGATGAGTAGCACCTACGTGGTAAGACACAGCACTGCCTCCATCTGCCTTAAAGTAATTCAGTAATATTATACTGTCCTCCTTACTGAACCATGTAATCTCCAGTAAAAAAATAATCAACAAAAATAACAACAATAACAAAAAACCCCACAACAAAATCTATTCCAAAACCATGAGCTAACTTAACAAATGCTTCCTCTAACCCCATGCCAGTTCCGCCCTTAATTCTAATTAAGCAGCATGGCACAGTTGCTTAATTAGACAATATTGGCTGGCAAATCCAGCAGCAAAGAATGTTTCTTTTTCTTCCTTTTCTGGGAGATGGGGATTGTAGCTGGAGAAAGGGTTTAACTCCATGGGGATCTGTGGGGCATTGCCACTACCTTGCTGGTATCCTGGATGCCTTTCTCATGGTCCCAGTTCTGCTTGCACAGGTAGAACAGGGGAGACAGCACAACACTGTGAGGAGCAGGAGTGCAGTAAGGGGATGGCTTGAATGGCAGAAGCATTACATTTGTGATTTCAGATGCTTGCAGCACGCAGCTGAGCTTGGAAAATGGGTGTATCTCAAATGTTACTTGGAAGTGGAAGATGGATGCTTAGTAATGTGGTCAGAAGACACAGACCAGGGAGAGAGAGTGTGTCCCCTCTGATAAACGAGAAAGAAGAACTGGCTTCAATAGGCATGGAGAAGGCTGAGGCACTCAACAAGTTCTTTGCCTCAGTCTTCACTGGCCATTAAGCCATTTGAAGACCTGGGAACTACAATCTGGTGAGCCTCACCTCTGTACCTGGGAAGATCACGGAGCAGATCCCCCTGGAAGTTATGTTAAGGCACTTGAGGGATGAGCAGGTGATATAAGACAGCCAGCACAGCTTCACCGAGAGCAGATCTTGCCTGACCCATCTGGTGGCCTTCTGTGATGGAGTGACAGCACGGGTGGACAAAGGAAGGGCAGGTGATATTGCCTACCTGGACTTGCACAAGGCCTTTGACATGGTCCCACATCACATCCCTACCTCTAAGTTGAAGAGATATGGGTTTGAAGGGTGTACTATTTGATGGCTAAGGAATTGGTTGGGCAGTTGCAACTAGATTGTTGTGGTCAATGGCTCTATGCCCGGGTGGAGGCAGTGACAAGTGGTATCCTGTAGGGTTCTGGTGCTCTTCAGCCTTTTATCAGTGACACAGATGACAGGACCGAGTGTATCCTCAGCAGTTTACTGATGGCACCAAGCTGAGTGGTGCACTGAATCAACAGAAGGAAGAGATGTGATCCAGAGGGACCTGGACAGGCTGGAGAAGCGGACCCATAGGGATCTAATGAGGTTCAACAAGGACAAGGACAAGGTGTTGCACTTGGGACAGGGAAATCCCACAAATGCATAAAGACTGGGAGAAGAACTCCCTGAGAACAGCCCTGTGGAGGTGGACCTGGGGGTTCTGTGGGCGAAAAACTGAATTGTTAAGTCTGGAGAGGACTATGGGGAGACATCACTGCAGCCTTTCTTTACTTAAGGAAATATAAGCAGAAGGGGGACCAACTTTTTTCATAGGCAGACAGTGATAGGATAAGGGCCAGTGGCTTTAAACCACCATAGGGGAGGTTTAGTTCAGATGTTAGGAAGAAATTCTTTCCTCAGAGGGTGGTGAGGCACAACACTGCTGGCCAAAGAAGGTGTGGGTACCCCATCCATGGAGTTGCTCAAGGCCAGGTACGATGGGGCTTTGGGCAGTCTGATCTAGTAGGTGCAAACCAGCCCACAATAGGGGGGTTGGAATTAGATAATCTTTAATATCCCTTCCAAACTAAACCATTCTATGATTCTATGATCATACGACATGCTTGCAGACGCTGCCACTGAACCCAAGGGGAATGGGCTCTTGAAAAGCCATTCTCTCAGTCTGGAGACAGAGGGAAACTTTTGACCTTGGGTAGAGATGCGAACAAGTACAGAGAAATTTTGCTCTGCCTGCACAATCCAGTGAAGGAAAAAACCTGGAAACATTTGCTTGCAACAGCTGCCTTGCAGCCAGCTTTTACTTTGACGTGGGAGCAAAGCTCAGGGTCACTCCCACTGTTTTCTAGACACTGTCACGTCTCAAGCAAGCACTGAGCTAATTTCCTCCAATTGTCTTTGGGGAAGCACAAGTGCTGCAAAGGTGATGTCACTGTCCCTTGGAAGCTCAGGCTGCACCTCCAAAGCCTTTTGTATCTAAAGAACCTTCTGTGCTTCCCCAGTGATCATTTCTAGAGGTGTCCCAGAGAGATTCACAGCTCTCAACCATGGCAGATGAGTTCTTATCACTTCCTTGTGGAGATAACTAGCTCTGAAATAATTTCACTCTTAGCAGATGCAGTCTAAGAGTGATAAGGCAGAGCCAAGGGAGATGCTAGTCCGTACTCCTTAAATTCCTGGAGATAGCAGTAGCACTCAGTTTTCTTCTTCCTCTCCTAATCTTTCAGCCCATTCTCTCCGAAAATTCAAAATCTTCCCCCCGGTGTTTCTCCTAATCTTGCATTAAAGTCTCAAGCAATAAAGCTTTCACCACTTTCCTTAGGGAGACAATTTTCCAGCCTACAGTTCTCTGTTCAAAAGCACTCTGATTCTCAGCTTAAACATGCCCCGTCTTAATTTTACCCCATTAAAATCATTACTGTATCACCAGTCTTCTCCCTTCATGCCATTTACTTCATTCAAATATTTACAGATCACTAAGGTGTCTCTGCTTAGTTTAGTATAATTACTAATTATATTGTACCTATTATATTCAGAATCTGTGTTTTGTGTTTTTTCTCTCTTTTTTTTTTTTCTCTTCCCTTTTGTAATGCCTCCAGGCTGCCGATTCCTTCAGCTGCAGCTCTTTGAGCTCTTTTTTCCACCTCTCACTCCTCTTGCAAACACGAGGCAGATGCTTACCGCCCTCGCCTGCCTTGTTATGCCTTTTTGTACACCATCCAAATCTGCACCGCCTGTTCCTTGCTGTGCTGCCCTAACACGTGCGCAACAACACGCGGGTCTCATAGAGTCGTGCCTCCGAACTGCGTTCTCCCCTTTAGAAGGAGGTTCTGGACCGCTCTCCGCCGTAGGGGGGCGCTGTCGGACGCGGCCGCTCTACGCGTCGCTCGACTGCTCCGGCGGCGGAAGTGACGTCACGTAGAAGAGCCCCGCGGCCTCCGCTGACATTTTCTCTGGCGTCGGGGGCGCGGCGGAGACCCGGCTCCTCCCGGCTGCCCATGCTCCAGCTGCTTCCCCCCGGGTGGGAGGCCAGGAGGGGCCTTCGCCGTTCAGGTGAGTCGAACCGACGCGGCTTGGGCTCTCCCGCCGTTCCGTGGCCGTGCCGCTTGGCCGCGGCGGAGCCGTTACCGTTAGCCGGCGGCGGGTCCCGATCTCTTTCCCCTTCACCCTGAGGAGGAGGAGGGAAGCGGGATCCGCGGAGAGCGGGGCCTCTCGTCACGGACCGTCCGGACGTGGCTGGAGCTCCGCGCGGCCTCGCGCGGCGAACCGAATCTCGAACCCGAATCGAACCGCAGTGCTTCGGCTGTGGGCTGAGGGGGGGAAACTTTGACGTTCTGGTGTTTGCTCTTACGTGGGAGAAAGTTCAGGTGGTTCGTCGCTTATCTCGCCTTTCGTTTTTGTAGGGTTTAACGGGCTGCAGGTGTGGTTGTGAGCAAGGAGAATCTGAAGCTCAGCTCTTTGAATGAGCAAAAAGGCAAAACTGCACAGACTGGTGATAGCTGGGCTAAATCTGCTCGGTTTCAGGCTTGTAACTTTGCACTATCAGGCAGGTATTGAATGGCTGCTCGGTGGAAGGTGTTGGTCTTTCTTTTAGTTGGGAGAGTGGAGGTGGTTATGAAAGCCCCCACCATGGTTCAGTAGCGTCAAGCTGTGAACGCGTCTTGGTTTATTATTTGTGGAGCTGGGCTACTTGTGTTGGCGTCTGTCTGCATCTTTGTGCAGCCGTATCTGCAGCATCTGAGTTAGACGAGGTCCTGATTGTAACTACTTCTTACATACTTACTAAGTATACTTACATATAAAGTATCTCTGCATTTGGAGGGCTGTAACAATCACAGAATGGACGTGGTTGGAAGGGACCTCAAGGGTCATGAATCTCCAATCCCCCCACCACAGGCAAGGCCACCAACCTCCACATTTCATAGCAGCCCAGGCTGCCCAGGGCCCCATCCAGCCTGGCCTTGAACACCTCCAGGGATGGACGGGGCATCCACAGCCTCTCTGGGCAGCTGTTCCAGCACCTCACCACTGTCATAGTAAAGAACTTGTGTATATAGATGCTGTGCGTAGGTGTAAGTCCTGATTTCTTGTTTTTGCTGGCTGTAATTCTGGCTTTTAAAGAAATGAACAAGCAGTAAATCTCCAAATCTGAATCGTCTTTTAAGTAATCATCTCTTTAAAAATGTAAGTTTTCTTCCTGAGCAATCCTCACTCCAAATACACTGTAAGTCTTCTCAGGTACTTCTTAAGCATACAGTCAGATAGTAGTTCCACTCCTAGGCATGTGCTAAGGTATTTCTAGTTTTCTAGAAAAGGTTTTAAAGTGCAAACAATATTATTTCTTGGCCCAAAACGGCAGACGAACTTTTACATTTAAATGTTTGTTTTGAAGTGCTTTATGTTGCTTAAATCTATCAATAATTTCACGCTTGAGCAGTTGTAATGTGCTTGAAACAGAGCACGGTGCTCCGTTCAATTGTTCATCCTGCCTCAGTTAATATCTGTAATTGCTCTTTCTATGATAGAAGAGCTGAAGTCAGGCAGTCCCAACCGTGCAGCTTCTCAGGGAAACACTGCCTTTGTGGAGTGAATGAGTTTGTAGCAGCCTGCGAGGAGAACAGTGAGTTTATGTGGAGTTCAGATCACAGGTAAACAAGCAGGGAGATGAAGTGCTGTGAACTCATCTGCCTATGAGCAATAGTTCTCCAGCAGTTCTCTGAGTATTTCACGTGCCCAGTGATCTAGAGGAGCTTGGTGCTGATTGAAGAAGCTCCAGTGAGGGCGATTATGTGGCTACTAATCAGTGCTGCTTTCTGGGGTACCAGAAATAGTAGTGTTTTGTCTGCGTGACTGTAGAGGCGAGGGAAGGTAGTGCATGAACATAGGCAGATAGTATTTATGCTCAGCTATGAGGATAACACTTCTGATTCATTTTTAAGCGCTTGCATTTTTAATTATAGCGTGTTGACTATTTCTGTTTCCTTTTGAAATTAATTGCTGGTTGGCTAGCATATAGGCATCACAAAAAGTTGCGATGAGAAATTCCTTAGAAATCAGGAAGAGGAAAGGACTGTGGTCTTGCATGTTCAAGAACATGATACGTGTCTTAGTATGGCCTGGCCCTCTGTGTTTGCACTTGATAAGTGCACAAAGGTTGCCTGCTTGGCGAAATCTGAAGGGCACAAACAAGTTGGGAAATGATTGGAGGCATTAAACTGGGTACTGGCAAAAGGGGAAGGAATCTGAGGACAACCGCAAGGCAGTTGAGAATGGCATACATGCAGTGGTAACCACACGTGCAAACCAAGCTCTGCTATAACTGCTAAAAGGGTGATAGGAAGGATGTTGATGCGTGTTTGATAAATGGGCAGATCATGCTGGCAGCTGACAGTGTGGAGGAGTTGCGGGATTAATGAGGTATGGTAGGACTAGATGAACATAGTGTAGATACAAAGTATCAGGAGGGGCTTTGAACACTAAGCATTTGGGAATTAAGTTAATCAGTACTGGTCAGAAAGAGAAATAATTGTCGTCTTTGTCCTGATGCCTGTCTCCTTTATAGGTGCTTACCTTTAAAGTGCAAGTTTTCCCACTTTGCCTTTAAAGTCCATAACTAGTTTTGTTCACTTGCTTCACTATCTCTTGTATATTATCACTGTGTTCCACTAAAAATGCATGTGCCATGCAGGACCAGGGAGGTTATTACCAATCTCACTTAAACATCTGTCAGTGAGATGTAAGCTTCCACAAACCCTGCTGAAGTGGCTCCTGAGTGCATGAGCATTTGGAGCTGCCTGCTGTTGTGGTTTAACCTGGCAAGCAGCTCAGCACTGCACAGCCATGTACTCACCTCCCTCTCTTTCCCACTGGAATGAAGGAGGGAGAATCAGGGAAAAAAAAAAGATAGAATTCATAGGCTGAGCTATAAACCAATTACAGAGAGAGAAAAGAAGGAGAGGCATAACAGTAATAAATATGTTGACATAATAGGTGATGCACAAAGCAATTGCTCACCACCTGAAGACTGACACCCAGACAGTTCCTGAGCAGCAGCAGCCCCCCCTGCCCAACTCCCCACTGTTTTCCTTTTTTGTCACATGTTGCTATGCAGCGTAGAAGAGCCCTTTGGCCAGTTTAGGTCAGCGTGCCCTGGTTCTGCTCCCTCCCAGCCCCACAGCTGGCAGGACTTTTATGTTAACTTAGAAGCTGAGAAACTGAGATGTCCTTGGCTGTGTGCAGCACTGCCCAGTGACAGCTGAAACATCCATGCGTTATCAGCTTTGGTTTTCTCCTAAAGCCAAAACATAGCATCATATCAGATACTGTGAAGTGGGGAAAAAATACTTTCCCAACTGAAACAAGGACACCTGATTACACTCTGGCCAGACTGTTACCACTAAAAGCATTTAAGTGTGAAAACTTTTCAAATGAATAGATCGTTTCAAGCAACCTGTGTTTCACTTTCTGTAATGTCTGTTTATGTGTCCATGGTACTTTTAGACAGAACTGGATCAGTGATCAGTTTATGTGCATTTGATTAGATGACTTACAGAACTGTAAACATTGACAGAAACTCAGCAGAAGACTTAATAACATATTTACCAGATCAGAGAGCAAGATCTAAACAGCATAGTTGCAAGCACATATCTAGCACTTCAGAAGAGACACTTGGAAAGACGTTCTGAAACTTGATAAGTTTTTACTGACCTGAATGTGCTTGAGTAGCAGCAGGGAACCAAAAGTGAAACAGCAGTGGGAGAGAGGGACTGGCTTAGTGCTGGGAAAGAGCTCTGTGCTCTACGTGCTGCTGTGTTGTTTACTTGTCTTGTTTCCTTGTGTGCAGGATGGTAAGGAAACTGTCTGTCTCAGTTTTTCAGTGCACAAATTGAAGCTCAGCAGGTAACAAATGGTTGTGCTCTTAACACAGTTGAGCTGCTATGACACTGGAATCTGCTGCAACAAAAATCGCTGCATTTGACTCTCCAATTTGAGATCTAGAAAATAACATCTACAAATGGGCAATTCTGATCATAAAGGAAACTGAAAGATGTAAATAAAAGTGTGGATGTAGCATAAGTATTAACCTTTGCAGCTGCTTTATTATAAATCCATCTCTGAACTAGACCGGAATGACTGATGCAGTGGCACTCAATTATTGTTATGAGTTAGAAATTAAATTTGTGGTTGATTGCCTGTTCACACTTGTTTGTGTTCCCTCCTCACAGATCTGATCAACTTGAGTAGAGTTGGTGCAGTATAGCAATTTCTCCACGGATGTGACTTTGTTTCTGCAGCTCAGGCACATGTTGATTACTCATTCAGGACTGAAATGAGATGCAGCTCAGCACTGAGGTGTTGCTGTTACACCATTGCAGATGCATTAATGAAAGCACAGAGAGGTCAAGTAACGTGCCATGGTCGTGTGGTGAGTCAGCTTTAGATTCGCTGTGGTCCAATATAGAACCCATTTTTAAGAGGATATTTAGTTTTTTATCAGTTTTACCTCTTAATCTGTCTCTTGAATATTCAGGATAAAATTTCATTAGAAAAATACTGAACAGGCTTCAGCCTTGTGATAGTCATCTCCAGTAACACAGCTAAAAGCTGTTAGTACTCCATCTGAGGGCTCTTAAATTATAAGAACAGGTGGTTGCTTCAATTAACTGCAAGTATTTAAGACTCAAGCCTGTATTTTTGCTTCCATATACTTGGATTTTACCTTTGACTTTGCCGTGCAACTTCTGCAGCGTCCTGCAGACTGCTTTTCAGCTTTTGTAAACGGCAGAGACTGACTATGGTTGGACAGTGTTCTTGCTGCATTTCTTCTGTAACGTCTTGTCTCCTTGTGCTTGGTCATTAGTCTTTCAAGACTACTTTGGAGAAAGCAGATTTCACTTTCATTCATCCCAAATGAGCAGAGTCCAAGTGATTCACAGTAGCAGAGCTCAGAATAACTAAATGCCAGACTTTGTCATATCAGTTGTCTGTGAAATTATGTGGCTTCCACCATATCAGTAATTTGTTTTTCATTGAGAACCTTACATTTTCATGGTATACTGGTTGGCACTGCATGTTCCAAATAATATTGTTTAACTCAGTGAAGTGAAAAGAAGGAAGTTAATATGATAGCCAGATAAGCTTAGGATAGTATGTACTGTGTTCTTGTGCTGTGTCTTTTTAATCAACTGGTAGTCTCCTGACCCCTCCATTTATTTTCCCAGTTCGTGTTCTCTGGGTATGGCAGCTCTTGCTATGGAAAGGAATCTAAATCTGCTGGCACAAGCAGAGTTTTGGGGAAGAAGTGGTGATGACAAGGTCAGGAAGTTGTCTATTAATTCCATGTACTCTGACTGGAAGACAATGTAAGATAAGATGTTGTTTTTGTTTTTTAGGAAACGTTCCGTTAAGGAGGTAAGCTGGAAGAAATTCTGATAGCCCGAGGCCTCATTTTGTTCAACAAGATGTCTTTTGAAAATGTAGTTATCTGTGTGGGAAAGAACGGGCCTGTGCCCATAAGCTGAATGGCTGATAAATACAGTTTGTGCTGTCAGTAGCTGTGGTTTTCAGAGCTTGTAATGTCTTTTGATTAACATTGTGTGAGGACTGTGAGGAGCTAAAACAGACAAGCATTTCTCTAAGCATTACTTTTGAAAAGACAGTGAAATGAAGTTTTACTTTGCATGATTTTACCTACTGGCATTAATAAGTGATCTCAAAGGTAATTTACAGCATTTGGATCCCAGGCCATGGTTTATGTACAGGTTATTTCAGCCTACTGTCACAAGAGAAAATCCAGAACTTGTTGAACACTGCAAAATTAAGTCAAAGAACTCTAGAGAGTATCATGCCAGGGTTTTTAATTTTGGGGGTATTGTGCAGCTATGGACCTCACACAATTTAAAAGTTAGTTTGTTAACATACAGTTGATTTCTCCTTTTTGTGTTACAAGATGATGCTTTTTCTACTTTCTAACATCTGTAGTGAATTTCACTGTCTCGTGGAATTCATAAAGCTCCAGTAGTAAGATTTTGTTGGGCATAATACACCAGACTTAATGGTCTTTTTTCCTTCTGCCTCTCCTTTGGCTAGAAAATTTGTACATATATATTATTTACATATCTTCTACTGATAATTATTCTATTCTTAAGAAAGCTCTCCCAGCTGTTCTTAAGAGAACAATAATGCAACAAACTATTTTAGGATGCATAGTGCTTTTAATTAAGGCTACGTTGGGATATTTTTCTGTTAGTACCTGCACAGTACCAACAATAACTACCATCTAGGTTTTTAGGGTTTTTTTTTTTTGACTCTTTTTATAATAGATAACTTGGCATTCTCTTATATTTAACTCTTGAAGTCAAATATATGGAAAGCCTTCTGTATGTTTACCAGTCTTTCTGTTGGTCTTTCAAAGTGGGGGTCAAATTTCTTGAGGTATGCTGACTAGGAGTAAATGTAAGAAGTATCTGATCGTGACAGCAGTGTTAAAGACATCGTTTGTAATGCACTTGGAACTGGCTTTTGACACAGTTGGTTGTGTTTTAGAAATACCCAGACTAACTTTTGATCATTTTTTAAAATGAACCTGAGTGTACTTTGCATCAACTTCTTCATCTGCTGTTTGTCAAAAGCTTGAGGGTTCTGAATTAACCCTCTCCTGCATTGTCTTTTTTTCCTTACCGTGCTTTTTTCTCCTGTGGTACAGGTTGTGCCAAAGTCTGCCACTAATTCTGCCTGCGTCCACAGACGTCTGTGGTTGCTATTTCCTGTGAGGATTCCTTTTTTGTTGTTTCATTGGAACAGTTTCTCAGGAAACCTCGAATAGGGTGCAGTGCATTGGGTTTTGTAAAGATGCGCACTAAAAGGTTGGCTGTCATTCTGCATGTGGTCTTGAGTTGGGTCCAGCAGCACAGGTAGGTTTTTTCTAGTAAGAAGGCAGCAGGTTGTTTGCACTGGAGCTGTATCTGCTGCTTACTGGTTACTAAGGTTATAACCAGTATCATGAGCACTTCCTTCAGCAGAGCACACTAGACATACACATCTGCTAGACTGCATTACACATCTGCTAGACAACAAAATCAAATGTTATGTCGTCTTATTGGTCAAAAAAAAAAAAGATCAAAGCTTTGGTGCCAAGAACAGCTCAGCAGCAGCTGATGGTTACTGATGCTGAAATTTCATAATTTGAAGGCAACATGCATTACCTTTAGGGTATTTAAGGCTTTTTCTTCACTGGTATTTCTGTTACAATTTCATGTTCAGCATTTAATCTTATACAGCTAGCTTAATAGTTAAATAACAAACAAGCATTAGTAGCTTGTGAGTGTGAAAATGACCTGAGGATTGGTTTTGGCTTGTAGATCCTTTCCAGACTTTGTGTAGAACTTAGGCCTATCACCTAATTTCTCTTCTTCAGTTGGCCAGACCATTAAATAGTTATATTGCTGCCAGATATGACAGGAAGATACTGTGTTTTTGCCTAAAGCAAAACTGCTACTGAATGATGTTTTTTTGAAGCTTTAAAATACCCCGAAGCTGATTTATTTTTTCTTCTATGCCAGCATGTAAAACAGGCTGATTGTGAAGTACTTGCAGACGAACTGTAAACTTGCTTAATATCTCTTTGCTAACTCAGCTTTGTTATAAACAAATGGCTGTTTTAAACTCTTGCAATGTCTAGTTTGATGACTTTCTCTGGATGACTTTATTATGAGATGCAACAGACAAAGGGATCACCAACATCAGCTAGAGAAGTAGTGCAAGACTGTGCAGAGGTGCATATCTAGCATAAGGTAGGTAGGGAGTCCTGTTCCAGGAAAGGAAAAGTTGCAAATAATTGCCAAGTGGCACTTCTCTATTAAGAATATCTGTGTTCCTGATGTCAGGAACTGATGGATTATGATTTGCTAGGCCTGGTGACTGGTTCTAGTGCTCCCCTCATTCTGGACTTGTCACTGCTGCTGTTCTGTTCAACTGCTCACTTAGCTCTCCTGCCCTGCACTTCTCTTAGTCTTCTGTAAGGTGCAGAGCTTCCTTCTAGGGAGCAGGGTTACAGAAGGACCAGCAGTGGGCAGTTCTGCCTCGTTACAGTGGCAGCAGACAGCCAGAGGGATTGAAGGATTCATGGAACTGTGACCTATACCACTCATTGCTGCTTCGAATTTTCCATATAACAGTAGGGTACAGAGTGTTCGTTTGTGTCTGTCTGGGATAGATCTGCTTTAACTTTCCTGGAGACAGCAGTGAGATGACTAGTAGTGCATCAAAGCTGCGTTGTTGTTGTCCTGATCTGTTTGAACCTATTAGCAGATAACAAAGTGTGTGATCACTTTCTGGGTATTACAGAAAAAATTTTCAGAATAGAAAGCAAATCTCCACTCTGGCAATCAGGATTAATTTAAGCGTTACCATTGTTCCCAAGCAACTTAATATGCGATATTTCTGGGAGCATTACTTTATTGACCACAGTAGAACAATAGGCCAACATTTCCGGTTGATCTGTTTAACAGGCTATTTTAGTCTGTTTGTATAACATGGCATGAATCAATGGAGGAAGCACAGCATGCATTTATCTTGAGTAACAGAAGTAGGTAGGTAAAATGGGGTTTCGTTAAACTACAGTTCCTAGGAGGAGATGGTGCATCTGTATGACTATACTTAGTAGGCTGGTCCTGTGCAAGAAATGTAGCATAGCTAGCCCAGCATTGATTTCTTCAACTAGTTTTGTTGAAAGAAGCATGATAATCCACAAATTAATCTCCTAAATTTTTAGGAACAGGGTAGGAAAATTTATGCCTCTGGCAACTAATGGAATGTGGAGTGCTGAGGACTTTAAATCACTGTGCACTCAAGAAAAACAGTTACACTTTGAAACAGAAATGATATTTTAGAAGATTAAATGCAACCTCTGTGCCCTTGTCTATGTGCTAATTAATTTATTTTCACAAGCACTGTGATTTTGTGGAATTCCAGTGCAGCTGGTGTATGTTTCTGGAAGCCTGTGTGTCAGCTGGTAAACTAACTCTGTACTGGTGGTTACATTTTGTTTGGAAGAGGCAGAACATGTGCTTTAAAATTACAATGTGTAGACCCGTATTTAAATGTAAAAACTTGTTTCTTGTTAATGATGAAAAAAATGTTGCTTTTCAGGGCTGCTAAGGATGCTTTAGAAACCTTTGCTTTAATACATATACTTGTAGTTTCTCTTCTGTTTTGTATAATTTGTATATCCAGCCTGCTGAGCACTCAGTAGGAGCAGCCTATTTTTAACCTTGGTTTGTTTATGCAAAACCAGTTGAAACAGAGCATTAGTTTAATCCTTTCTTCTTTTGTTTCACACCTCAATTCTCTTAGCATGTCGATTGCAAAGGGTCTTATTCTTTAGGATCGCTACCAGGCCTGATTTGTGAATCATCTGATAAAGAGCCAACTCCACTCCCAGAAATGTGCCTTAGGTAGAATTGTATGCTGGTGAGTCAGCTTCAGGGCAGCATTTTCAAAGGAACACTATATAAATTACACAGTATCCATGTGGGGGTGGCTTAGTGTTATGAGAAATCTGCTGTAGAGCATCGTGCACACATCCACACAGAGCTGAGTCAATTGGCTTCAGTCAGATCGAGTGCTGCTTGCACTTCTGTTAAGTGCAAAGGTATGTGTGACACTTAAAAGAAAATCAAAAACATCTTGTAAGAATGTACAGTATCCCACGGGAGGAGAAGGAATACAAAAGACAGCACTTGGAAAGACCAGAAAGCACTGGTACTTCCTCCTTTGTCATGATGCAAAATAGTTTTTTTTTTTTATAGCAGTCTAAGTATTTGATTAGTTTTAATGTTAAGGAAGCAAATTGCAGTAGAAAAGAAGGCATGGGTATACCCAGAAAAGTTTAGGCAAATACTGAGAAGCAGCCAGTCAGTCATACTCCACATCTTCAGAATCATGTGGTTCTCTGCCGGAGAATCTGATGTTTGCCAGAGTTTTCCCTTCTTGTCTTATGAGGTGCACCTGAATGTTATGGCCAACTCCTCAGTATCCAGCCCATGTGCTGTGTCTGTCCTCTCTCTCTCCCTTTCCCTTAGATGCAGAATCAATCGAGTGCTTGGTTCAGTTCTTGCTGCTCTTGCCAGAGTGTTTATCTTATTAAAAAAGAAAGAAAGAAAAAAAAAAAAAGAAAGAAAAAAAAATCCACTATTTTATGAAATGGTATAGGACTAAGTAGCATACATTTGTCCGTGACTCTCTTAATTCTTATTCCATCCATGCTCAATTGCTTTTGGTAAACATGAGATAATTCGCTGGTGATGGAAATAATTGTTTATGTGAATCTGAGTCACTGTATTCTTCAGTTCCATATAAATAGAAAAATATTTAGATTTAAGTGAAGGCATTGGTATCTATGACATTGGAACTGCTAGATACATTTCCTCTGGATGGACCTCTGTAGCTCTGTATTCTAAACAAGTAATTCCTGTGCAGCACTGCAGCTTAATTTCTTGTTTATGTAGTCGCAATTCATACTTTATATTATCTTAGATGAAAATGTAGGTAGTTTCTCATTTTTCAAATTTTAACTTGTAATGAATGACTTGTGGTGTGAGGAGGTGGTTTCCAATTTTCTTTTTCTGTCAGTGCTAAAATGGTATTAAAAGACAAAGTTTTGCTGGATATATTTTAATATAAAAATTCTTAGACATAGGAGTGGTCACAAGGAAGAAAAAGTGGTCTTCAGGGTGTGACTGGGCATGGTGCTAGTTAAACTAGGTTCTTTTTCCATAAAAGGTTGGACCAGGTGATCTTTTGAAGTTCCTTCCAGTCTGGGCTGCTCTGTGAAATGTGTCAATAGTAAACTAAACTGGCTTTTAAGAGAAAGCTGCTGTAAGGAACTCAGTTCTCCTGAAATAAGAATCTGTCCTACCCACAGCTGGTGAGGGTGAGAGGTGATTTGCACTTCATGTGTGTTGGGCATTCTTGATCATGAATCAGTTCAATAGCACCTAAAAAGGCGATGTGCAATTAAAGTGAAGCTATTGTGATGTTTATTATGTCAGGCCTTATCGTGTTCTTGGGGGAAACTAATTTCCTAATGGCATGACAATTCTAAAAACATTTATTTTGCTGAGAACAAAACAAGCAAAAATCCCATGAAGGATGTGTACATGTCCAGTTACTGACTGATAAAGAGCATGCATGCCGTCCTTGATACAACTCTGTGTGTCAGTGTTTATTAATAGCATAAATTTTACAACAGTTGTTCTCAGAATTATGTTATTCAGGATCTACTAATACCTGTAAGTTTACATTTCCTTTTCTGCTTTTTAATCCACTTTTTATCTTCAAAAATCTCTTCTCAGATCAAACAGTGCTGTGAAAAACTCTTCAGTAGCCCCTTCTATGCCTAGTTTGAGCTCAAGGTGTGATGGGAGCAAGCAGCAGGTAGCTTTCCATCAGATTTGTTTTTATCTGAAGGGATAATTTGTTCCTTGCTCTCCATTCCCTGGTCTTACTGCCAGCTCTGGCAGAACATTTTTTTGTTTTCTGGTTTTGTTTTCTTCTAGCTTAGTGAAAAGAATTTACCCAAGAAACAGCAAACCAGTTTTGGTGCAAAGGAGGGAACGGGACTATTCAGTTGTTAGTAGGGGGTAAAAAATAGTTCTGGACTGATGGCACTGATCTGTTATATTGGGTGGGCTGTCTGCTGAGCTGACCTTTGGAATCCTTCTGGCTTTCTTCACAGAAGCACATATTTCTAAGAGTAGGGATTATGTGCCTTTACAAATGACTGTGTGGTTTAAAAGTATCTCCCATGTAAAACTGTGGGTAGATATTTAAGGTTTCTGCATACTGGTACTTTGTATGGTTAAAAAGTAAAATCTAGCACAGAAGTTCTTGTAGAATTGCTTTTTTTGTTTGTTTTTTGTTTTTTTTTTTTGTATCTGCATCAAAAAAAGGAGAATGACATTTCTGAGCAGTGTGTAATTAAGTATCCATATGTGTCTGTAAGCATCACAGCTTTATTTTTTTCGATGATATATTCTCCTTTCAGAAAAAAACTGGTCTTTCTCTAATTCTGCCTTGAAATCGCCTTTTTTTTTCATGCTATTACTAGATAAAAGAGGGGCAAGAAAGAGCAGGACTTCTGTAGTATTCCTCTTTATGATCTATGTATTTCTCAATCAGTACTAAGTCAGTTTTTTTCTTTGATTTGTTGCTTTCCTTGGCATAGATGTGTTATTACCCCCACTGTCTGCATTCTTTCCTACAGCAAAAGTCTGTTTGAGTCACAACAGACCCTCTTCCCTTGATGTAAATATGGAGTACTTTTTTTATATACATACTAATGCTACAATTACTGCAGATTCACATAAACTGGTAGGACCTACCGAGTCCATGGCATCTGGAGAGCCACAGAGGAAGCTGATGGTTGTCACTGATATCTCTACCACCTATGAAACCTCCTGGTGTCTAGGAGAGATTCCTAATAGCTGGAGAAAAGCAGACTCCCAAGAGCTAGGAGAAAGATCTGGTCAGCATCACCTCAGTGTGAGTAAAATCACAGTGCAGGTTCTCCTGGAGGCCATTCACAAGCGTGTGAATTCAACCACAGAGGTGGTTGAAAAACAGCTGTATTGATTTGTGAATCAGGCACCTCTTGTGTGACCAACTGGTGCCTTTTGGGCTGAGATCAGTGACTATGTGGGCAGTGGGCATGCATTACCCTTGACTTCAGCAAGACCTTTGCTGTTATTCTGTATACTGTTGTGGTCACATCAGTGAGACACGGACTGTTCCTAACAAGCTGGACAATGGGATGAGGTGCACTCACTGAGTTTGTGGATGATGGCACACTGCAGGGAGGGTTTGCTATATTGGAGGGCAGGCTGCTTACTCAGAGGGACTGCAATGGGCTAGAAAAGTGTGCTGACAGAAACACTAAGAGCTGCAGCATAGTGAAGTGTGAGGGGAGGCTGGGATAGCTTAGTTTGTTCAGGGGAAGCTGGGAGGGATGGGTGGTTTCTGTCTATGCTTAAAATCTGACAGGACAAGGCTGCAGCCAACTTGATCTGATCAGCCCTGAGTAGGACCAGGAGGTTGGAGCAGACCCCTCTGCACCTTTGGACCAGCTCCTTTGTACAGAAAACTTCTGTGATTCCCTGACTGCCAGAACTTGGATTGTTAGAGCTTGTTTTTGTTTTTTTTTTGTGTTCTTCATAGAATTGTTTGAGTTGGAAAGGACATTTGAAGGCCACCTCTAGTCCAGCTCCCCTGCAATGAACAGGGATTTCTACAGCTAGATGAGATGCTTTCACAACATGAGTTGGAAGAGATCTGGCATGGTTTGAGTAGTCAAAATAAGATCCTACTTAGTAATAATAAAAAAGCTTCTTTTCGTAGTTATGTTCTTATCAAGGTCAGAACACGCAGATGAGACTTGTTTGGTTTTTTTTCCTGGCTGGTAGGTTAGAGAGATGGAAAGTCAAGTACTGATATTCTTGTTTTTCCTTTGGGAGCTCCGGGGTATATGATGTTCCCAAATAAAACGCCTGTGAAAAATGAATCTCCAGTTCATTTTGGCTGCCCTTTAGCTTTGTGTTGAGCTCCATCCTCTGTGCTAATCTCCACTCTTTGTGCTAAAACGATAGATGGTGCAAAAGCAGTTCTACGGTTCCTAGCTTGGACTTCAAAATGCATTTCTTTTGGTTATCTCTTTATGTATGTGAGCAACCATATTTTTCCTTGCATAAGCAGAAATCGAATTTCAGAGTTCTTGGGAAATGTGTTTTTCTTTTCAAAGCATATTACCACAGGAAAAGCCAGGAGTTACGCTGGCATATATTTACTATCCACCCCACTGTCTATAATTCTTGGCAAGCCATTTAGTCATCAAGTATGTTTCACTTTAAAATGGGAAAATTATTTGATAAGATGGATTTGCAGATGAAATGTGTAGAAATACTGCTTTTATTACAGTATTGGGATGCCTTTGTCTCGAAACATGCAAATTCATCATGTGGGTTTGTTGATACAGTGCTGTGGCCAAGAAAATAAATGGGCTCCTATGTGATATTTATTACCTACCTTAAATTACCATCTCTGTAAATTCTTTTTTTAAGTTGCTTTCAAGATAATTTTGCTCAGTGCAAGTATTGGAGACATTTTCCTTTATATACACTTTCCTGTGTTTTTGTTGTTGTTGCTGTTGTTTTGTTTTTTTTAAGTAGACTTACAGTTGTCACCCCTGTCTTTCTTGTGTTGTCTGTTATTAACTAAGATTTCTTTCCATAACGTGTGTTCCCTATAAATATTTTCATAACTCTCTTGCATCGTTTCATTCATTAGCCTGAAAGAAGCACAAGCTCTATTTTAATATTGTTATAAAAATGAAGTTTCAAAGTGAGATGGGGCAAATGGCACAGTGTAGAGAGCTTTTGACAGAATCTTTCTAAGACTTGCTCTAGATAAGCAGCATGCAGTTACAGGCTATCCATAGAGATGGATTGGGAAACTGAAGGAGGATAGAAGGGATAGAAGAATCTCTCAAACCCATCCATACCGTCACAGAATGGCCTGGGTTGGAAGGGACCTCAAGGATCACCAGGCTCCAACCCTGCCACTGTGTGCAGGGCCACCAACCTCCACATTTAATACTAGACCAGGTGCCCAGGGCCCCATCCAACCTGGCCTTGAGCACCTCCAGGGATGGACGGGGCATCCACAGTCTCTCTGGGCAGCTGTTCCAGCACCTCACCACTCTCTCTGTAAAGAATTTCCCCCTGACATCCAATCTTCCCTCCCTCAGCTTCAAACCATTTCCCCTTGTCCTGCCTTTATCTACCCTTGTAAAGAGAAGAGTTAATTCCTCATCTGTTTGTAGGCTCCCTTTAGGTAACCATCTCAGACTGCTGAAGTACTAATCATCCTTTTCCACCTAAATATATTTTTCAAAACAGTAGGTTAAAGCTTAATATTGCTTTTCCTTATGTGTCTGTGCTATTTTTTTTTTTTTGAAGTGCCATACGTTTGTTTTTCACTGCTCTAAACCCATGACCAGTTTGTTCCATACAGTTCATCTGCAAGTGAATGTGGAAATTGAAAGATCCTCCTTCATTTTATTCTGTACTGAATTACAAATGAGGATTTGGGTCGAAGTCAGAGTATGAAAAATTAAGATAAAATGATAAATATTGTATTGCTTAAAAAAAAAAAAAAGATTCCCTGAAGGTGCTCTAGATGCTTTTTGGTTGATAATGTGCAAGTTATCAGTCAGATCATAGCTTGATTTTCATACTTATGCTGAAGAAATGCAATTTGTTAAAAAATAATTTAAAGTAAATGTAGGATTGTGGTGTGGGTGGATACTTTTTCTTGCTTGCAGCCTGTGCTATTTGATGCTGTTTTCCTGGCAGATTTAGGAGACAGTCTAGGCCAGCTTGTAGGTTCTCATACAGCCAGGGCTTTTATGGCAGCTTTTTGAGGAGCACCCAAGTGGTTTTCTAAATGCTCCTAATAAGCTTTACACATGGCTTACCAGCATTTCTCTGTGCTGAGAAGAAATCTTTTATTATATAGCCAAGGCTTCTATAGACACTGCCTGAAGTGTTGTAAATCCCATGTCCCTGAGAATATGGTATCGCTTTGTAGTCTTGCTCCGTAATATTCAGCAGCAACTTTGGTTTCAAGCCAAAACGTCTGGATTTTGTTTATGCCACGTTGGTACTGTAAATTTGTCGATTATCATAAAAACTAAAAATTTTAAAGTTTGAAGTCCTGATCTACTGAAAATAGATTTCTCATCGATATGGAAACAGACCTGCATTCTGATCTGTTTAGGCAGATGGCTGCCAAGTCTGGGAATTTTCACTCTGGCTTTGTTCATAAGTGCTAAAATTCTTCATTAAAATGTTTAAAGTTCTTGGTGAAGGAGTAAAGAAGTTAGCATATGTTGCTTAGAACACATTGGTTTAAATTTTATAAAGAAAATGTTTAGAAATGCTTTTGTCATTTTCTGATCTGCTTTGGTATGCCAGTGAGATGAGCCCCACTTAATGTGATTCCAACCCTATCTTTCACAAATGTGAAAAAAGGAGGAATAGATTGGTGTAACAGGATGAGTTCACGAGGAAAAAGTAAATAGAGAAAACCAGTGTGGTATTGAGTCATGCTGCCTGTAACTGAAAGCAACCAATTGATTAGGTAATACTGTGAAGACTTGGACTGAGTGAGTTGCTTGGGTCAATTATTCTTACTGTTCTGTTCTTGTGCAGGCTGCTGTGTTGCTGAAAGCCATAACTAGCTGACCCCGTCTTCCAGGCTGCGTGCTCCATGTTTTGAGACCGAGAGGACCTTGGTGTTCTGAAATGAAGATGGAGGCAGTGGGAAAAGCAGAAGAACTTTTGGATTCAGAAGTTCCACCAAAGGCTTCTGAGAAGCAGGAGACAGCTCCTGATGAAGATGGACCTATAGAACTGGAGGCGCATACTCAGAAAGACAGCGTGCCCACTGCATCAGACTCTGCAGTGCTCTCTTCAATGCCTTGCTTACTGATGGAACTAAGACGAGATTCCTCAGAGTCTCAGCTAGCATCTACTGAGAGTGATAAGCCAGCAGATGGTCGAGTTTATGAGAGTGACTCTTCCAATCATTGCATGCTTTCTCCTTCTTCCAGTGGGCATTTGGCTGATTCAGATACATTGTCTTCCACAGAAGAGAATGAGCCCTGTCAAGCTGAAGCTGCTGTGGAAGAAGACCCTTCTGGGGTCTCTGGGTCTGCAGCTGGGAGGAAATCCAGGCGATCAAGGTCTGAAAGTGAAACTTCAACAATGGCTGCCAAGAAAAACCGACAGTCTGTCGATAAGCAGAATGGTCGAGTTACCAAGGTAAAAGGTCACCGAAGCCAAAAGCACAAAGAAAGAATCCGACTGTTAAGGCAGAAACGGGAAGCAGCTGCTCGCAAGAAGTACAACCTGCTGCAGGACAGCAGTACCAGTGATAGTGACCTGACGTGTGACTCGAGCACGAGTTCTTCCGATGATGATGAAGAGGTTTCAGGGAGCAGCAAGACAATCACTGCAGAGATACCAGGTAGAGGATGTTTTTTAAACTGAACTGTAACGCATCTGGCATCGTTTCTCAGCTGTCATGCTAAGTTAGATGAGTGACACTTGAGAAAACCCAGGAGAACTGCAGCTCTGTGTAAATTTGAAGACTGCAGTATATTAACAAGATGTGGGCAAATTTCAAAATCTGTTCTGAGGTTTTAGTGCACTTTTGCACACCAACAAATTTTAGAAGTGGTAAATTGGAGGAAGGACTGTCATTGAATTCTGGAATTTTCAGATCTTTTCCTCTCTAAGCCTATATGAATTCCTATCAGCGTTGTTAAATCCCATTAGATGGTGATAATCTAATAAATTCATTCTTAAGATAAGTGGCCAGCTTTGCTTTAATATACTAAGACCACAGCTTGGCAGCTGTGTTGGGAACAATATAGCATACCTCTTGCCTGTGTTACAATAAGGCCCTTACTTACTGTTGCACTTATGCTGTGCTTTCAGCTCTGTTTCAGTGCATGACAAATGTACTTAGCCTTATTCCAAATTCTTGCAGATTGCAGCTGGTCACCTATTTTAGGACATAAATATGAATTTGTTTACACAGATGCCCAAACTGTTTCCATTTATAAATTTGCAGCATTTCAGACAAAGCTGTTATCGTTTTCCTATGTGATAAGAATCTATAACATCTATGCTTTTAATTTGCTGACACATCCATGCTAAAAGATTGGGGGCAGCAAATTATAGGGAGATTTTTATGGTTTTATTAGTTGAAAGAAAGATAAATTCTTGAAGTTTCTTGTCTGCAGAGTCTTTGTTTTTTTAGCCCAAGTGCCACGGACAGGATTTTGTGTACTGCTCTTACAGAATACTATAACACAGAACCATCATCATATGACAATCAAAAATAAAGTTACGTAAGAATAAAGTTTTTGACTTGCCAATTTTTACTGAGTTACATGACTTTTTGCCTTTTGTGCTAGAAGATTTTTTTTTGAGATAAGTTTAAGTTTACATAGGGTGAGAAAACTTAAAGGAAAACTGCAATAGCTGGTCTTCACTGTCTGAACTAATGTTTACTAGATGTCTTATTTAAAATATCTGCATCAGATTTTGCACATGATGGTCTCTGTTCTAACTGGCTTGATGACAGTGAACAATTTTGCTGCCATGAGAACTGGCCTTTCTCCCACATATTGCTAGGAAGCAGGTTGCACAAAGGAAGTTAATGTTTATTATTGGAAAGTCTGGGAAAGGCATATTCTTCTTGTAACGTGTAGTAAACTTTTAATAGATGCTTTAAAACTATTTTTCCAATTTAGTAGTTGGTCAGCCTTCTGGTTTTCATAGCTCTGTGCCTTTTTTAACTGGTTTTTTTTTTTTTAAACTATGTTTACACTTTACAGGGCAATTAAGACTTAATATAAAGCCCATGGAAGAAAACTTTCATTCAGTTTTCAGATGGGTCAACCCGTCTTCTCCCCCCAAAAAAACCCTCACCAAATCCCCCAGGATATATACTTTTTTTTTTAATAAAGTCATAAAGCACCTTTTGACCCAGAAAGGTCCCCACTTGCTATTTGTCAGATCTGCCTAGATTTCTGACTTGCATTGCTGAGTTTGGAAACCACTCTTGAGTACTTTTCTGTGCCACTGGGCTCCAGCATTTCAGTGTAGTGAAATTATATACCACTGTAGTATATAGAGAACTTGTAAATTTAATGATTATTAAACCAAGACCTGATTTTTGCCTCCGTTGCAGTGTGTGGGTGTGCAAAAGCCGGCCTGGAGAACAGTGACCTTTATTGTTAGTTCATAGCTCCTATCATCCGTGTAATAATAAATTACATTATGACATTAAAACTCTGGAATTAGGTACAATGCGTGCCTGGCAGATTGTGGGTTTTTTTAGACAGAGACATCTTTGGCTTGTAGGAGAGTTAGTGCAAGAGAAAAACATGCTCTATAGAGATAAGGACAAAGGTAGCAAAAAATGCATCCTGTGTTCCTTTGGGTTAATAAAGCATGGTCTTCACAGATGCAGTGGAGCTGTGAGCCTGGCAGGGACTCCCTGTGCTCCATTGCAGTGTCAGGTCCGTGTGCTTCCTGCAGTCCCTCTTGTTGGATTTACAGAGAGCTTAGCTGAAGTCATTTTTCTGAACAGAAAGCATTTTTAATGCGCTTAGCGCTAGGCTCTAAACAGCCTCAAAAGTTAGGAATTAACAATTAGAAAATACCGCAGGGTAAGCTTTCCTGGAAATTCAGCCATGGGTATCCTCTGCACAAAGTCAAAAAGTAATAGACTTCATTTTTAACTTCACACTTGAACTTCATTGTCCAGAAACTGCAGTGCATCTGTCAGAACATAAGCAAGGAAAAAGCACTGTCATTTACTTTTGAAGAAGTCTGTACCTCTCAATGCAGAGGAATTTGTGTTTCCCGTAGTCTTACTGTATTTGGACGCCTCAGCAGTACTGTTTGTTCCAGCCTCAATGTGGCTTATTACTGGGACTGATTTTCAAACCTGTCTGTTGTCTGGAAAACAGCTTTGCCAACAGAGATGCTCTAAAACTCTTAGCGATAGTTCATTTAATATGGCCTTCATAACAGAGGCTATGTGTAGGCTGTGTGTACTCTAACTCTTAACCTTCTGCTGAAACTTACAACAGAAGATAGTATACTTGTGCAAGGTCTCAAATTTGAAGTGCCAAATTTGATGTCAATCACCACTTCCATCCTAATAGTGCAATCATTTTATTTTATTTTTTTAAACCATTCACATGACTGATTCTGAAATACATTAGGATAGGTGAGTAAGATAAGGAAAACATTCACACAGATGCACAATGGTGCCCTGAACAGATGTAGTATAATTAGCTTCATTTTGTTGTGTGTGCACCCAAGTAGTGAATTAAGCAGTTGTGCAATAGAGTCAGAGGACTGTGCAATAGAGTCAGCAGTCCTCTGCTGAACTCCATTAAAATGCTCTGGCTTGTTTTTCTTCTCCACAAAGACTGAAGAGTTGAGATCTAATTGGTCATTTAATAGGAACCAAGCTCAGTGTGATGTGTTATTCTTAACTTGGCACCATATAATATGTATATTCAACCTGAAAATGCAGGTTTGATCAAAATTTCATGGATACTCCTGAGAATTTGTTGACTGACCTGAGCAGTTGTACGTTTGGGATTTTTATTTCATTCAATGCAATGTTTTTTAATTATTGTAGATGAGGAATAATCTATTATATCCTAATGACTGAGCCTCTCTGTTGGCATTTAAAATTTTACTGTTCATTAAGGAATACCAGATAGCATTCACTTCAGGCATAAGGATATGATCTTTGAGTCCTGAAACAGGTTCTGCTAGACTTACTGCTGCTGAAAGATTTTTCTTTAAACTATTTCAAATTTAATCATGCAAATTAACTCTGAATTAAATTAGGATGAGAACGAGTCTAGGAATTAATATCTATTTCTTTGTAAATGCTTTTCTTTGGAGGGAGGAAGGTTTGCTTAACAGATCATAATGTGAAAAAATGGTGATTTTGCCACCACTGTGCTTTCTGCAACTCAGATTGAAGTCTGCATTCAAAGGAGGAGACTCTTGTTACTTTCAAAAATCTGTTTTGAGTACTGATGCTGAAGAACGTATTGCAGCTCAATGGTTTAAAAAGGAAAAGCAAAAAAGCAAAAAAAAAAAAAAAAAAGCACAATGTGTATGAGCCAGTTTACTTCCTCCTAAGATTAGCACACAGAGCTTTGAATGGAGCATCTGCCAAGGGGTGAGTTTTATTGGAGTTCCACGCAGTAGTATAAAAGGGAAAAATCAGAGATTTGCAATGAGATACTCATTTGGAAAGGCAAGATAGCATAATGACTACACGTGGTCCACTGCTGACTAGAATGGAGGTGCAGTGTATCTTCTTCACTGTTACATTGTCTGATCCCTTAATTTAAATTTGGAGTTGGTGTTTAGTTGGTGGTATTTAACAGATCCCATAAAGAGACAGCGCTGGGAATTTCTTAGGTACTGTTCTGCAGGTGATACTCTCTTGGTACAGCTTCTAAAACTGTAGGACCACAAGCTTACAGTTAGCAGTGGGACCAATTTGATAAATTCTAGCTCTTTTATATAATAATTAGAAATGCACTTTTAGACTCAATTTTTTTTAATACTAAAGATAACAAGTAAAGAAGTGAGTAGAGCCTGTTGTAAGTAGAGCAGCAAAGGGAGCACTTGAAGCAGTTTGCTTTGCTGCCACTGTCAATTGTGGATGTACTATGATGCCTTTAAAACTAAATACTATATTGCAGGGTAATATATCTTTCAATACATAGGCCCTTTAGTTCACAAAACAGTTTTGTCAGCTTTGACTGTGCTAATTCATTCTTAACTTTAGAAGCCTAGCTTATTTTATATCATGTACCACTATCTATAATACTTTTTTTGTTTAAATTGCAGTTTAATCTTGCTTAATATTACTTACATGTTTCTACTCTTAAACTTATGAAAGACAGAAAGATTCCTGTTTAGTTCTTTTGTCTTGGGATAAATCCCTGACTGAAGAACGAATAGAGTCACACTGGAGTATGTGGACAGTGTGATATATTTTTTTTTCTGTTTTGGGGAGCCAAAAGGCATTTAATATTCAAAAGGAACTACATTTTAGGAAAGAAGGCACTATTTTACTTGATTATTTTCAGTTCAATGCCAACATAGTGATGGAAGATAATTACTATAAGGCAGTTCATTTTTGAGCAGAGGACCGAAATGCTGAATTTCCAGCTTATCTGGCAGGTAAACAGATGAGACTTTGAAAATTGGATCTTAAATAGAAAGTCTCTGGTGCTCAAGTGGTAGCATTGCTATGGCTTGAAAACAAAAAGAGAATAATCTTGGGCTTTGCTTAGCTGTTGCTTACTGAAAGACTTCAGAATACCTCATTTAAATAGCTTTTAAAAGAATGTATTGATAGGTGATACTGTAATTTCATATGGACAGTGGAATCCCATTGAAGAGTTAGTG